GTTACTACATCATATGCTTCGTTGACCTGATTGGTGTATTAGGCCCGTCTATCACCAACATAGGCCAATCAGCTAACCAGTATTTTCGCCCCTTCCCAAAATTACTTCAACGGAAGGTTTCCAGATGGATATGCGGAGCAAATCCATCTGGCGGAGTCAGGTTAGCTTTTCACCTCCTGTTATTAATAGTCTAGATATTAATAAATTCGTACTTTTTTCATTTATTCAGGGAATAATAATAATAAACACAGTCAGATAAACAAATAAAATTAACATTTTGCCAAATCAAACAAAAAAAACATCCGCCCTGGCTGCGGTTAGCCTCGGTGGTCCGCTGGTTCCCGCGGTCCTCTCAATCTCAGTAATTGGGCCATGTAGTGACACTTAAAAGTAAAATGTTCTCGCCTTAAGTTATTTTAAAACGTACTTTTATTGAACAATAGAAAAGAGAACTTTTAACTTGATACTCTGAGCTCTGATAGCACTAACCTGGAAGCTGCTGCTGCAGCAGTGCATGCTGGGACAGCTGTCAGTCTCAAGAACAGACAAGTCTGCTCTGATGCATGCTGGGTAAAGAGGGAGGGGTGAACATCATCCTGGGACTTTGTCCGTTCTCTGTCTTCTTGTTCTTGTGAATTGGAACAGTACTAGCGCTGAGGCTGAATGAACACATAATGAGAAACTGTCTCTGACTCAGAACCAGAGCGTTTGTTTCGGACATGTTTGGTACCAGATTCTGTAAAATTCTGAAGTTCTGATGAAGCTTAAAAGTTCTGGTTGCAAATGGGGTTTAAAACAGATCGAGTCTAATGAGCTCTGCTCTTCCTCCTCTTCCTCTTCCTCCAGGTTCTGGTGGAGGACTCACAGCTGTCCCATCTGACCAGAGACCGAGCCAAGATTCCTCAGAACCGCCGCCTTCCCTCCAGAGGCCACCTACTGGCCGTGGTCAGTATGACGGGAGACCAACAGCTTTTTATTTAGGTCCAAATCTGTCTGGAACAGATGAGCTAAAACATTATGACCACATGACCCAAACTGGCTTCTACTGCTGCAGGTTCTGGATCAGAACCCTGTTTCCTGGTTCCTCAGGGATCATTAGTGCTTGAGTCACCTGTTCGGGGTGTTCAGGGGCATCAGTTTTTTAGGAACCGGATGCCAATGACCCGTTTTCTCTCTGCCCCTCAGGCCTCCACCTCCTCCTCAGACGGGATGCTGACCCTGGACCTGATCCAAGAGGAGGACACGGCGTCTCAGAATGGACTCAACACCCTAAACCTGGACAAACCGGCCTCCCAGCTCAGCCCCGACTGTCCCAGGTCCCAGACAGACAGCGCTCTGTCGGCCGGAACAACCGAGTCTTCCACCAAGTCTCACAGTCTTCCCCGCGAGACGGTCGTGTGGCAGAAAACGGGTCAGAGCCGAACTCCTCAGCCGGACAAACGGCCCAGCGTGGCGGAGAAAAACCGCTGCTCCTCCATGGACGAGATCCTGAACCACTCCGAGACCAAAGGTGCCAAGAACAAAACCCCTGTGACATCACATTCCCCCACCGCCACGGCAACCGGAACCATGGCGCCCATCAGCCAGCTGCAGGAGCTCATCAGCAAGAAGCTGGAGAAGACGGAGAGGCTGCTGACGGAGGTCAGGAGCGACGCGGAGCCTGGGAAGGCGAGGGGGGGGAAACCGTCAGGGGATGGGTCCCGCGCCGAGGTGGAGAGACTCCTGAAGGAGGCCGCTGAGGCCTGGAACCAGGCCCGGGAGGTTCTGGAGGAAGTCAAAGAGCTGAAGGCATTGTACCAGCAGCTGCAACCCGGATTCTCCCCCTCCAACAGCACCAAACAGAACCCTAACCGCAAGAGCCTGATGTAGGCTGGGAGAGGACTTAGTGAGCTGAACCGGGGCGGCCAGGAAACCCAAACCGCTTCCTGGACTTCAGACCAAGGGACCTAAAACTGGAAAAACCACTTTGCTTATTTCAGGTCAGCTGGGTCCAAAAAAACGTCTGAAAAAGCAACAGAACCTGATCAGATGAGCCTAATGGTTCTGTTTTCATAGAATAAGCTGCTCCGGTTCTGTTGGACCTACTGTCCAGCTGACCTCTCTGGGTACCTGAACCGTGCAAAACACACCTGTCTGTCAGGTGACTCCTCAGGTTTCAGCGGGTCGGGTCAAATGTTGACCTGAGGTTCTGAGGTGATCCGGGTTCGGGCGGCCAAACTGTTCTGATGCTTCTGTAGGAGCGAAAATTATTTAAATGCTGCTTTTTTTTTTTTTAGCTTTGGTCCAGTTCCTGAACTCATCCAAACCCAAACTGATTCAGAACCGACAGACAGCTGCTTGGAGCTCCGGAATATTCTGAAGGAAAACCAGCAGATTTATTTCTTCATTTTACCAAGGAAGAAAAAATCATGAAAGTAAATATCTTTATGTTGTGGTTCTGTACCATGAAGACACGGTTCTGGGAACCTTTCGGATCACGTGCAGGAGCTTGGTTCTCCCTGCTGGAGCATCTGGGAAAAAGTCCTGGTTCCGCTCCGCTGGGTTGGACCTGATACTCCATAGTTGGGAATAACTGGGAAAGAGCGGTGGAATTTTGGCCCATAGGGCTTTCCGTAGAACAGAATAGAACTTAATTGATCTGTTATTTTTAGTGCTTAAAGGTTCTGCTCAGAACAGGAAGTTCTTTCAGAACCGGTCCCTGATGCTTCCCGCTGGTCTGACTGAATGTGCCAACCGATCCAAGAGTTTGGACCTAAAACCCGGTTTTATCCTGTAGGAATCATTTGGATCTCCGTGTAGCAGTTCTTCACTGGATTTACTGCTTTCAGAGCCGGGGCGGTACCAGCAGATTCTGGAGGCTGTGGATTCCTTTAGAACCCTGATGTCCTCTAGAACGTTCCTCAGGGGTTGGAACTCGGCTCCGTCCCGTTTACAGTAAAACGGGACGAAAAGTCCGGTTCAGTTTATTTGGTTCCATCAGATTCAAACCCAGTTGAAAACAAACCAGCAGCCTTTGTTCTGTTTGGACCGGCTGCTCCAGTTGGTCCCGTATTTATCGGTACGACGTCGGACTGAGCTTCGCAGATTCTTCTGCAGAGCTGGTAACTCAGAGAGACCTTAAACCGGACCCAACGGGTCAGAACCGACCAAACAATGGAACCATCTGGAACTGAAGCTGGATCTGTCAATGTTCTGAAGGAAACCAGTGAGCTACTGGTTCTGATTCACTTCAGATCTGAGCTTAACTGGACTCACTGGTTCTGTAAATGGTTCTGATACAAAACAGTTAGGAGCTATTTTATTTTATTTTATTTTTTAAATAGTTTTATTTACTTGAACTGATCCAACTGGGTCAGAATGGGACCAGACTGGAAATGAACTGAGACTGGAATCTGACTGGGTTATACTGGAACCAGAGCAGAACTGGACCAGACATGGTTAGACTGGAACCAGACTGGTCCTGTTCACACTGAATCAGAGTGGAACCAGACTAGAACGGGTCAGACTTAGAGCAGGACCAAGCTGGTTCCAACTGGATCTGGGTTCAGACCAGAACCAGACAGAACTCAGCCTGCAGTCGGACTCCGTCCGGGTCGTGTTGGTCGAGAACGCTGGAATCTTCTTTTAAATGTCTTTTCCGTCTTTGAAACAGTGTTTCTGTAGCAGCAGGAAACTGTTGCTGCTGTAGCCTTAAACTTTTGCAGGGGATTGTGGGAGATGTAGTTCAGCAGAGACATGAGGCGAGTCCTTTGGAGAAGCTGTGTCATGAGCTGCTCATGTGCTAAAATAAAATCTGCAAACTGAACCTGAATGTGTGGAGTCTCACTGCACCGCAAACGAGAAACTTCTTAACACCGGTCTAGGTGTTTTTAGTCTAAATGTGGGGGAAGTATTTTTTAAAATATAAATATGGGGACATTAAACTGGTTCCCATATGTTAAAGTTCTGTTCTTTGAGTTGGTTTGGTATATGTTGGTAATAGTTTAAGGTAAGGGTCTGGGTTAGGCCATAGAAAATGAAAGGTCCCCATATGTCATGAAAACAAAGCTCTGTGCGTGTGTGTGTGTGTGTGGGGGGGGTTATCTTTAATTGTTCTAAATTTAATCCAGCTCAAGTTTTTCTTGCAGTTATTTTTGTTTTTTTGACACGTCTGCTTAATTTTAACATATAAGCTAAATATTGTGATTACCATGGCAACAGTCTTATTTAGCGGTCATCAGGGTATGAGGTGATAAAATACGATATGATTTACTTTCCTATTTAATGATGACCTGCTCTCAGATTCATAAGAACTCAAAGTTTATAGAAATACGGTTCCGACTGAATATAAACCAGTTTAGGCTGGGTCTAATCTGGATGGATCTATTCTAAACTGGATCCCAGGTTTAAGAAGTTTAAAGACAGCAAATTTTACCCCAATCGGATATAAACTGGAATCTGGTTAAATTAAAATTTAATTTCTAGCTAAATTTTAATTTGGTATATGTCAAACTGGTGTGAAGCCACTGGTTTGTACGAATCTCCAATCTAATATATTTACGATGGATCAAAACTAGATTAGACATTTTAATTAAAAATCATGGCTTTTCCAATTGATCAACTGTCACATTTGGATCAAGTTGTGCTTTGAATAGAATGAAACTGATGTCTAAACTGGATCAAAGCGTGTTTACACATGGCTTTTGTTAAACCGGTTTAAGTGTGTGCTCTGGATTAAAACCGGTCTGCGTGTTACTCAAGTATGACATTTTTAGTATTCAAACTGGATGCAAATTTCTTTACGTCTGTTTCTATGGCAACCATGATGGGCTCAGGTGAGTGGAGGGAACAGGTGCAGCTGATTTGTTTGTTGGATGAGGAGATCAGGAAACAAAGCAACTGCTTATAAACACGTCAGGGGACAACAGCTGCTGAAACTGGGACATCTGCCCCCCCCAGCTCGGGCTGAATAGTACTGAGAGCAGAATAAAGGAAGCAGGAAATCCGTCCCAGAGCATCATTCTACCACCACTATGTTTGGTTGGTGGGATTCTAAAAAGGTTTTAATCCAGATTTTAACAGGAGGACGGCTCCAGTAAGGATCCACTTTGCTCTCATCAGTTCCCAAATGAATCCTGATGACCTTTAAGATGTTTTTTGGCAATTGTGAGACGGGCCTTGACCTCTGACCCCTCCCATGGAACTTAGTTCTTCCCTGCCTCTGTCTCTTCCTTACAATCTTGACCTCTGACCTTAGCTGAGACGGAACCAGATTAGCTGCAGCATTTTTTTCAATGAGAGATGCTTCCAACGTCACTGCAGAGTTCCAGCAGCTATGATGTCGCTACAAGCTAGCGCTGTTTTTGCGTCAGGGGGCGGGGCTAAACTGAAAAAATTCTTTTTTTTGGTTCAGGAGTGGGAAATACGCTTTTTTACCAGTTCCATCCAGTTTTTTTTTCTCATTTTCCTTAGACTTAGACAACTATTGTCATTTTTTTTTTTTTTTTACACACAAAGTATATACAAATTTAAATTTCGTTTTAAAGTGCAGCAGTGATCAAATGTAAACAGTGTGGAAGAAAAGACATGCTACAAAATAACACATTGATAAGGAAGTTCAGAGCCTTAAATATAAATTGTGCAATGTTGTGGCTTGATGTTATCACTGTGATGCAGTCTGACACGATTTAGAGTTTTTTCGACAGTTCAGCTGTCTGATCACTTTAAGTTTTAATACTTTCTACATAACCTGGCAGCAGCCAGACTGATCTGTGTAGAGCTGAGTTCAGTTCTACGATTTGAGACTGAAAAGTCATATCTTGCGTTACTCTTGTTACTTTCCACATGCACTAAAGGTGATTAAAAATGTGATGAAGTCATTGCATGATGACAGATCAGTGTCTGGTCTGCCTTATAAGGAGAACAGGAAGCTTAATCTTATGTGGGATGGCGTGTGCATGTGAGTGTGGTCTTGTTTTACCAACAATGTGGGTGCTGTATTTTCTAAAATATCCAACATGTGGGAATTACAGGTACACATGGGGACATGCAACTGGTTCCCATACGGTTAAGTTCTATCCTGTGAGTTGGGGTTAGGTATATATTGGTAATAGTTAGGGTCTGGGTTAGTCATACAAAATGAATGCAGGTCAATGAAATGTCCCCATATGTCATGAAAACACAGCTGTGAGTGAGTACCTGTCTAGCCCTCAGAGTGAGGACCATTTTTCCAATTTCACCGTCAGACTGAGGATCATTTGTTGCAAAGTGAGGACATTTTGCTGGTCCATGCATGCTAGTTTGCTAATGGTTAGGTTTAGGGCTAAGGAGTTAATTGGGTTTGGGTGAGGTATGCATTGGGAATGGTTAGTTTTAGGGTTAGGGCATAGAAAGGGTTGAAAATCAATGAAAATCAAAGAGAGATAACACATGGTCCTCACTATGTATAGCAGAACAGGTATGTGTGTGTGTGGGGTGGTGCGTTTTTATAATGAAATAAAATGCTGTTAGGTTTAGGATTAAGTTGTGAATAGATCTTAGATCAGGATTAGGCTTAGGTATTAACCTGTAATGGTTAGGATGAATTTAAGTCAATTGAAAGTCCCCACGGGGATAGAGAAACGTGCGTGTGTGTGAGAGAGAGCTCCTGTCGTGATATGAGGAAGCTACGTCATCAACTACCTGAACAGCTAATCTTAATCGGAACTGTTCCAGGTTCTAAACCGGAATTAATTCTGAGATTACCTGAATTATTCCCTGCATCTCTACAGGACTCGTTCAGAGCGGCCCTGAACCACCTGTGACCCAGGAGACGTCGTCATGGTTACGAGGTGAAGGAAACAAAGCGGCGTTAACGATGCAGCAGCTCTGCCCTCTGCAGGCCAAACCAAGCAACTGCAGCTGCGGGGAAAGTTTGAAATCTGAGCAGAATGTGGAAAATAAACCTGCTAAAAGCCAAACCGATGGGAGAAAATTCACAAACTTTCACATTATGACAGATAAATGACATTTCCTCATAAAAATTTAAAAAATTCAAAGAATATATAAAAAAAAAAAAACATCAACTGATGAATTTAGCGTTTAGCTAAGCGTTGATTGAACACATTCACTCATATTTCCAGCTAAAAACAAAATGATGTTTAACTACAACAAAAAGGAATTCCGTAAAGATTTTAACAAGTAATCAGTCTGGATAAAATCCACAGAGATTAAAATGTTTAGAGATATAAAATCATCCCTTACAAAGGGAAAAACACATTGGTTGTTTATAGTGTTTGTGTTACTATTAGGGTCAAAAGATCTTTTAGAAATATTTTCATCCACTGACTTTAGCTTATGAGTCTGTTCTGGTTCTCTTTTGCTGGTCAGAAGATATAAGATTTGAAAAACTCTGATCCCAGAGAAGATTGCTGCTCTAAATAATCTTAGCAAAAGAACATATTTAATGTCACCAACATGGTGATCTGTTCAATCTCTAACGTTCTGCTCTCTCTGCTTTTTCTCATAGTAGCTTCATCTGGTCTG